TCGCCAATCTATTCAATGTGAGATGGCAGACGATGTTGCAGGCAAAATTGCTGAATGAGTCTGAAGTTCGAAGTTGCGGCGCAATGGCAATAAGAAGGGTAAACGCCAACACGCTGCCGTGACCAAAAATTTATCTTAGCATTTAATGCTGGTGTTTGTGTGCGTTGTTTAAGTTTGATGTGTTTTATAGCCCATTAAATCGAGCTTATATTTTTGCATGCCTTGTATTGTGAATTTCCTCTTTTAATTTGAAAAAGGCGACAGCATTAAATACATACATACCTACATACATATGTATGTATGCGGCTTAGCAACAAGATTGAAGAGAGATAAGTTTGAATGTGCCAATCTCTAATTTGCGTATACTAAGATTTATGTGATCTCTTTTTTCAGGTTTTATGGTGAAATAGTTACGTTTCTTTAAAACAAATAAAAATTGAATTAAGCTACATAAAATACAACAAAATAAATCAAATTAAAAAATTGGTGTGAATTAATAAAATAAAAAATTAGCTTTCAAAATCAAATTTAAAAAAAAAATTGACGACAAATTTTATAAAAAGTATTAAAAAAAAAAAATTTATTTAAAAAAAACCAAAAAAACAACAAAAAATTTTATTTAAAAATAAAAAATTAAAAGGATTAAGAAAATTAAATTAATAAAATAAAGAAAAGTAAAATAAACCAAATTGAACTGAAATAAATAGGAAAAAAATTAATATTAATAGATATTTTAAAAATAACTAAAAAAAGTAACTCATAAAACTAAATTTTAAAAATAAAAAGAAATTGTTTCAAAAATATAATAAAAGTAAAAAATTTAATCTAATAAAATTAAATTAAAAGAAAATTGGAATTAAAAAGTTAATTCAAAAGCGTATACAAATGTACTCAATCAAAAAATTAAAAAATAGATAACAAATTAAAAAAAATGTAAATTTTACAAAAAATTAAAAGTTAACAATAACAATAAAAAAATATTAAAAATTAACAAAAATTAGGATTTAGTAAAAAACATTTAAATTTGAAAAAAAAAAAAATAATTTCATATTATTATTAAATATTCCTAGAGCATCTAGATGCATTTCTGCATCAAAAAGAAAACTTTGAAAAAAATGTCGCTTAGGTTATGTTGGCGGTTAGGGCTCGATATACTACTTTTATAAAAAAAACACGGTACATAAAGTAAATTTTTTTTTTATATTTACTTTTAAATTATCAAATCGAACCCACATGCATGATTCATCTGCAAGAAGTAATCGTATTTAATTTTTTTTTTTTGCCAGCAAGACGCTCCCTCCACTTTACTCGTTAATACGTCTAACTATTCTACATGCAACAACAGAACTAGCAAAAATAATACTTAGTATAAATGTACATACATACAGTATCGGTCATATCTATAGCACACCATTTCAAAGTGATATTGTGTGCAACTTATGTTAATTTATTTATTTTTGAGAATTTTCAATTAGAATATAGTTCTTTCTCTAACAAACCCCATACAAATCCAAGTTTAAAAATTTGTAGAAAACTTCAAAATAGAGCAACAAGTTTTCACCTAAATTTCAAACTTTTTCTCGGAAGTGTTTGAATTTTTCTGAATACACAGTTTTATAGCCCAATCAATTTTAGTCTGATAATGTGCAAGTTTCAAGTGACTGAAAGTTACCGTTAATTTTTTAGAATTTTTTTCGCCAAAGGTGTTGCGGTTTTCATCCATATACAAAAAAATTTAGTTTATTCATTATATGGACGCCAATGCGACAAAAAAAAATTATAAAAAATTAACGGTAATTCGTAGCCACTTGAAATTTGCACATTATCAGACTAAAATTGCACTGTCTAAAAAACTGTGTACTCGAAAAAATTCTAACACTTCCGAGAAAAAAGTTTGAAACTTAGGTGAAAATTTGTTGCACGATTTTGAAGTTTTCTGCAAATTATTAAACTTGGGTTTATATGGAGTTTGTTAGAGAAAGAACTGTATTTTAATTGAAAATTCTTAAAAATAAATAAATAAGCATAAGTGGCACACAATATCACTTTGAAATGGCGTGCTATAGATATGACCGATACTGTAAATACATACATATGATGTACTATGTAGGTACATACTTGCGTACAAATCTATGAAAGCAATTGCAAATACCAGTTTTTGCATGCAGTCGGCGAGTTTGCAATCCGATACATACATTCACACATCCATAAATATGCATGTGCATATAGGTTGCATCCACAGCAAAACTAAATACTCATACAACTACAAAAATTGCTGTCACAAACAAACATTTCAAGTTTTACGCTTTTGTACGGTTTGCAAAATTCTGTGAATGATTTTTCGCGCCAAATTATGTATGCGCCCTGCTTTTGACTCCACATTACCTAGCAACGCCCTTGCAGCAATGAACATCAACTATTGTGCATACACACACATACATATATTGTTGCATTTATGTGCACACATAGATACACATATACATAGGTATATGTATACGAAAAAAAAACCTATACTTACTCATAGTCAGAAGCAAGACAGCCATTGCATGCATCGGCTGTCTGCGTCTCAGACTGAAAGATTTTTTTTTTTTGTTTTTACAGTTTTTTCCCGACTCGTCTCTGTTTATTGTTCGGTATGAGTCAGTAGTAGTGAAAATAGTATAAACATATCTACTATAAAGTAGTAGTCATATTTGTACGTATGGGAAGTATGCATTTGCGCGGAATAAATGAAGGGGGGGGAGAGCGTACATACTGCGCCAAATTGCAATCGGCTGACGACTATGCGAGTACAAATAAAGCTTTTGCGTTTTGTAAGCGCGCGCGTATGTGTGTGTTGGTGCGTTGAGGGTGGCGCAGCGCGGGCGTTATAAAGCGCTGGTAGTGCGCATGTGCCGACAAACGGCGGCTACGAAGACTACTGCAGCAGGCAGGCAGATGTACAGCATGTGGCGTTCAAATTTCAAAGCGTATCTAGATTTTATATACATATGTAAGTATGTATGTATGTGGGTAGTTATATGTACATGCCGGTTTTGCAGACCCGGCATTACAATGTAGGCGTAGTCGCTAGCAAACACCGCCGACGCTAAGGTGATAACGCGTGTGCATAGATATACATACATACGCTAGCGTAGATTTCCATTTGATAAATATTTATGTACTTTGCTACAAACAAACCGAAATGCGCCTGTCCATGCAAACGCGCTCCCATATTTATGTAGCTATGTACATACATATATTTGTTCGTATTTTGGTGTGTATCTGATAAGCAAAAATTGCGCGCAATTCTCATTTGAAGAGTGCTTGGCGGCGACCGGCGCGTCGAGCGGGTTTGAGTTACTTAGAAATGTATTGATGTAGGTTGATAAGCGAAACCTGTTAAATCTTCGCTGATATACATATGTACATACTATTGACTTCTACTACTTAGAACACTTCTATAAATTTAATCTCTGTAGAATATTTATATAACTTTTTATTAAATAATTTTATTTAATTCTCGCTGTGGCGTTAAATTCGCATGACTAATAGAAATCCAACTTCTCCAAATGGACATGCAACTTACCGCGCATACCAGCACACAATGCCCAGACTTAACATCTCTCTACCCTGCTCATTTTCCTATGCATTCTGCTAGTGCAATGCACCTGACGCGTCTGTCTACATCTCTTATGGAGCGCCACTTTCCAGTACAATTTACTACTTCCCTACTACTACTGCAAGAGGCTCGGAAGATTGCATTCGAGATTTACTACGTACGCCCCGACGGACAAATACATACATACAACAACAACAAAATTTATATAAGTAAGATGGTAAAAAAAAATTTTGTGGATTGATTTAATTATTGGAAACATAACCAAAAAAAAAAAATTTTTTCACAAGCGGAATTAGTCAATTTTCATCGATTTTTGGCATCCAATGGTTGCAACTTTCTTATAGTTTGTCCCAATAACTACTCCAAATAAAAAGTTTTTTTTTTGAGGTTGGAAAGAAAAAAATAAACAATTTTTGAACTATGTCTTCAGCTGCAAATTCAAGACACAAAAATCTATAAAAACTGACGAGTCTTCTACGCCAGATAAAAAATGCTGTAAGGCGTTGTAATGAATGAAAACATAACCATAAAAAATATTTTGTGTGGCAAGCGTGACTAATCAATTCTTATAGATGTGATAGGGTGTTGCCACTTTTAATTAATTTGTTATTGCTATTCTGAATTTAAAATATTAATAAATCTTGGAAAACACTTTTTTTTTGGCAAATTCGTAAATTAAATATATGCAATTTTACAATTCGCAAAGAACAACAAGTTAGCGTAAAAAAATATTTTTAGTCAAGTAACGTACAACAAACTATTTTAAAGAACTCCAATTCGCGCAAAAAGCTAATCAACTTTGTATTGCTATATTAAATTAAAAAAAAAATTCAATAAAGTAAAAAAAAAATCTCAACTAACACATTACAATTAATTCTAAAAATATACGTAAACAATTTTACAAAAAAAATATATATTTTACTTAACTACAACTAACACATTACAGACAATTTTAAGGATCTCAAATTCGCGCAAAAATGGTGTTGCCATTTGTAATTTATCTTTATACACATACATATTACATACGTACATATACGTTATAAATTTTGCAAAAAAAAACAGTATTCAACCAACACATTACAAACAATTTGATTATTTTTACAATTTTGCAAAAAGAAAATTATTTTAGTTTCAAATTCGCGCAAAAAGGGTGTTGCCACTAGTAATTAAATTTTTTTATCGCTATTTTCTTTTTTATCGATACTTGCATTGCAGATATACTAACATATGTATGTATTTATATACTATATAGATATACACCGAACTTTCTACAACCGAAAATATGCAATTTAGTGTACACAAAATGGCAGTGCGCATGCTTCATTTTCGCGCCAAGTGAACACACCCAGTAGACAAATCTAAATATGTAATGCTCTATGTACATATTTTGCAAACAAACATACATATGTATGTACATATAGAGCGATATGTAAATATATGCATACATTGTATTTGTACGGGCCACAGTATTTTTTGAGCAGTGCCAAATAAGGAAAATTCTCGAAGCAAAAGGATAACAGACAAGAACAAAAACAATATTTGAGCACAATAATGAAAAGGATATGGCAATGACAACGATGAGCTTAACATCGTAGCTGTATGTGAGTATGCATATAAAACGTTGAAAGGTACAATTAGTAAAATAAAAGTACACTTAATACAAAACAGGAAAAAATACAACAAAAACAAAAACTAAACAAAAGGCAGAAAAGGGCGCATAAAAGAAGCCGAGCAAATGCGCAGCAACAAATCATATTTAAGTGTATATATTAATGTACATACATACATACATGACGGGAAAAACATTCATTTAGCGGCCGGCCTGGCAAAAGCCATTGCCTCGGATACACAATTTAGTATTGGTGCAGGAGAAACTAGATTACATAAATAAATAAGACACTGGGTGAGTGTAGGTGGGTGTCTTGGGTGGTTGGCCAACATTTTAATAGTATTTTGATATTGATTTTTTTTCCCGTTGTGCACGCGCGCCTACCAGCCGAGGCGCCAACTTTTTTCAACAACAAACTAACTGCCAAGTGGCAATTGCTGCCGTCACTTGATAGTAAATGGGCGGTGAAAAGTGGGCGGTAGTAAGCTGATTTTTACAAACTGATATACATATGTATTATCCATACATACTTATATAGTATAGGAACACTTGAGCGCGGAAGTGAATAAGTTGGCTAGCGTTGCTGCAAAATGCGGCAGTAGTGTGAACTACTTTGGAGAGTTCAAAAAACTGTTAAATGACTAAGCGAAAATGTTGAAAAAAAGCTAACTGTTGAAGCCAGCTACACATTTGTACATACATAAATGGGGCGTGAAATATTTAGTTACACTGCCAGCTACTGAATTACTTTAATAGCGCATTTAACTGCACAAATAAACAGCTTGTTAGCGCTGCCCCACTCACACGTACATACATATACGGCAATTTCAACTACATACAAATTTCACAACTATTTCACAAGCTGGTGAAATTATGCCAAGACAGAAAAAAAATTGAGTACGATAAATTTCTTAGCGGTGTGTTAGCAGTACTTAAACTATGAACTTTTCGTAACTGCATACAAATATCCGCTATACGCTCAGTGCCTATCACTTCTACAAACTATTTACAGACAAATGAAATGTATCAACTCACCAGAATCGGAAGGTGTGTACGCTGAGTTCGACAGATCATCGATACCCTCTTTGCAGCGTGTGTAACTGTGATCGCTGTGACAGTGCGCTTGTGTGGCATGATGACTCATACTCGTTTGGCTGGATGCTTGACTGGATACCGGCGATGTGCGTCCGTACGAAAGCTCACCATCGAGTATTGACGACGCTGAGCCATAACCGGAATTTGCTGTGCTCTCTTCGTCTTCATCGGATTCACAATCTGAAATTGTATTCATTTTGCTCGTGTACATTGACTTGTTTTCGTCGCGCATTATCACATCGAGCACTTCGTGTATGTCAGGATGATCGGAGGTTAGACGTGTATTGATCTTATCCTTACTCGTATCCTGTAGCTCTTTGCTGATGTTATCGATAATGCCGGCATTCAACGATATATTATTACTGCCCATCATGCAGGCGCGCAAATCGATGTTCGTTTGCTTGAAGTCGGTGGCCTCGTCGTCGAGTGAGGGGGGAGTGTCTGGCAGCTCGTACGTCATTGTATCAAAAGCTGCTACTACGCTGTTGCTTTGTTGACCACCCGACTTGCTGGCATTGTTGTTGTTGCTGTTGCACGTTAAATGCAATGTGGAGAGCTTTTGTTGCAGCTGTTGATGTTTTTGCAATTTGCGTTGCTGTTGTTGTATTTGTTGTTGCGGTGCATTAGATTTGCGCAGCAGCGAGGTACCAGGCGGTATATGTTGCATACTTTGCACCGACGACGACGACGACTGCTGCAACTGTTGTGGTTGTGTGGTGCTGCTGGTGGTGGCAGCGATAACGGTGGTGGTGTTGGTGTTGCGCACATTTGGTATGCTATGTTGTTGCAATTGGTTCTCATAGTCATCGGTTGGTTCCACCTTTATTTCGGTCTTAATTTCAACATATTGTTGTGGCTGTGACATTAGAATGGCTTGTTGCATTTTGCTTTTGTTATTGTTGGCTACAACCACAGTTGGCGCTGGTAGCTGCGCTGGCTTGGCGGTGACAGCAGCCAGTGGTACAGCGCGTGTTACTGCCAAATCGCTGCCTGTCGATGAGGCTGATGTGCTCAGTTCCGTCTGGGATTGTCCAGACCACATGCAATCGCTATTGCGGATCTCGGTCTTGACGGCACCGTAATCGGGTGCGCCGCTTATGGGCAAATCATTGCCGCTGTCCATTTTTTGTATGTCACCCCAGATGGTGCTACCCCATCCGCCCATCAGATCCTCGAACAATTCACTGGGATCCGGCCGGATTAGGGAGTAATCCTCGAGATAGCTACTACCCAAGATGGGCGATGAGCTGAATGTGTTGTAAATTTTAGCCATATTTGATTCGCTTTCTAGTGGTTCAAAATCAAAAATTGTATCGCAATTTGTTTCTTCTTGTACTCGTTGCGGCAGAATTTTGGTGCTTTGCGAAAACACTTTTGCAGTTGAAAACTTTCGATTTCGAGCGTTGTAAGTGTGAGAGCTGAAAGGAAGAAAAGTGAAGTTCATGAAAGAAGGTGAATTTATACTTTAATGAAGAATTTTAATTTTAAAATATGTATGAAATAGAATACGTTTGTTTGTATATATGTACATACAACGCAAACTAATGTTGAACAATCGAAGATTTTATAAAATGCTTTCACAAAGCTGGATTTAAACTTTAGTTAAGAGAAAACAAGTTTTAAAATGTGAAATAAGATATGTTTATATATAGAAGCAATTTCCAATCAGACTATCTTTATGCTCTTGACGTTTTTTAAAGAGCTTTCACTAGAGCTTTCACACTCGTAAGTTCATTAGGTCAGGGGGATTAGTAGAACTAGTATTTAGAATTCATTTTCTTACAAAATACTTAATATATTTTGCCAAGCTTTCGCTATAACGTTCACAAGTATAAAAATTTACTTGAGCTTTTACAAATTTTTAAACTTCTTCGGAATTCAGGGCTTTAAAACATTATATTCTACAAAAAAAAACATACATAGTGAAAGCTTTTACCATAACTCACACATTGTTCTGCTTTCTGTGCCGAGAAGTTTTAATTTTAAAATTTAAAATTTAATACACACATGAAGAGGGGAGCAAAATATGGCGGTTTTGTGAAAAGCTTTCACTTGAGCTTTTTTTCATTAACTTATTTTTGTGATATGCTTTCACTTCACGATTTTCTTTTCGAGTTTTGCAGTATGAAATTGAATGCAAAGGATATATAGAATGGAACAAAAACCAAGGTTTTATGACAAGCTTTCACTTGAGCTTTTACAACGCCTGACCTGATATGTTATTATCGGTATGGGACAAGTGGAATTGTAGGTTAATTTTTTACAAAATATCTTTTTTGTGAAAAGCTTTTGCGATAAGCTTAAGTTTGCGATAATACCAAGTTTTCTCATAAGCTTTCACTTGAGCTTTTACAGAGTTAGAACATTTTCATCAAAAATGTTCGATACAATTTTATGTAGCAATATGTAAGAATTTGAACTTTTATGAACTACGTGGAATCACAATTTCAAGCGCATTTGCACAGCAATATCTAATATTTACGCTTCAACTGCGTACTTTACTCAGAGCTTTTTAATAGTATTTTCCTTATCGTTAAAATAAAAGGGTGTTGATTCTATTAACTAATAAGTATTGCTAGAACAATGCAGGTGAACTGAGACTGAAATTTCATGCTGAACTGCTCGCTCGTGTATATGAAACGTGGTTAGATATGACAGAGAACACTTGAAAAAACCCCTTTCTAGAGAGGAAATAAAACGACCATATAATGTAATGTATTGAGTAGATAATTATAACACTCACGGTTACTATATACGTATATCCAAATGCACATATGACAGGCTGACTAAAGTATGCCATAGACAAATAAAGTACACCAAGGTGATGCTCTAGTCAAGTATAGAGTTGGCCGTGATGGAAAAATTAAGTGAAACACAAAAACTTTAAATACAAGGCTCAAGTTTACGTCATTGTCAGCCTAATAAAAAAAAAAAACAACAATGGGATATTTTTAATATCGCAATTCTTGCTAAGATCGTTGAAAGGTTGTTGTCAGCCAACTGAAAACAGTGGGAAATAAATTTTTAAAGATTGTGTTTATTCAGGCACTTTACCAACTTGAGTGGTAAAATTCTTTTGGCAGAAAGCGCGTGAGCATATTCCAAATGGAGATGCAAAGCCCTGGCGTGCAATTCGGGAGCTGCGACATCGAATCGAATTTTTTTTAATTGATTTTTTTTTTAATCTTCTTATATATGTATCTATTTTTTAATATCATTTGATTTTTAGAAAATTATTTTGTTTTTTTTTTTTCTTTTTTTATTATGATTTAATTTTCACATTTTATTGTTTTAACAAGAAAATTTTTTTTTTCAATTTCTTAATGTTATTTTTTAAGTTCGATTTTGTTTTAAAAAGAAAATCATTTTTTCCACTTACTTTTTGAAAATTTGTTTATGCTTTTTGTCTTTTTTTTTACATGTAAAGTAAAGTTGCTTTTTAATAAATAAATTCCTTAATTTAATTGTTATTCCGTTTTTAATTTTCTTTTTGTTTTGGGAACTTTTTTTAATTTTTAGTTTTTATTGGTAAAAAAAAAATTATATACATATTTTTTTATTTAATTTAAGTTATGCTATATATTTATTTTATTATTTACTGGGTCTTTTTTAATTTAATTATTTTAAAAAGAAAATATACTTTTTAAATTTAGTTTACTTTTTAGAAAATAGATATTTTCTTAATATAATTTCATTTTTAGAAAACTTATTGCTACATGACAAACAGTTTAACGCTAAGACCACCTCGTTTGCAGATCTTTCACATTGGTGGAATATTCCATATAATTTTTTACACTTCATTCGAGTTTTAATTATGAAGAGAACCGAGCTTCATTCATATTCAGCCCAAATTGCAGCACTGGCCGGGTACTTATTTTTACTATTTACCCGGTTTGAACAGCTGTTATGTCAACCGTCTATGTACGATGAATTTAAAACAGCATTTCTTTCCTGCTGGGAAGCTTAAAATATTTAAACAATTACAAACAATTTTTGATTGATATACTATGTATGTACCTATATTTTCCAGTATCTAAACTTAGTAAATAAAGTAGAAAAACCCCAAGGCAACTCGTAATTCCTCATAAAAGATTAGTTCCAGTGGCGGGAATTTTATATACCTAGAATACATACATAAAGGGCAAATACCGACAATGCCACACTTTTATGTGTTTGTGCGCATGTTTTGTTGTTAAGTAAGTGGCGCCACAACAAACCAGTCACCATATACTGGTAATCAAATCGTCAATTTCTAAACGTCAATCAGTGAGTAAATCAAGCGCCTGTGACCATAACTTGTATATATAAAGAATTTTTTTCAGATGCATACATAGATACTAACTATACTACAAATATATACAAGATTTAAAAACGTTTATTTAAATATAATCCTAGCGCTTTCATTACTCTATTATTACAACACAGAGAATGTCACTAGTGGGTTTTACTATTTAACAACCTAATAATTATTGGCTTATTTGTGGTGGTTAAATGAAAAACGCCACGTTGATTCGAGCTAAGATAGAGACAAGACAAGTGCACCTGTGACAGCTACCCGACGAAAAAAATTAGCCAACTATGTAACTAATCATTTGTTTCTCTGGCGTACATATGTATAGCAAATTCAAGAAAAGCGATTATTTTGGCTGAATAGTTTTCATTTTCAATATTTTCTTGTTTCCCTAGTGGTATTGGTGTCTACGAGTACGAGTATGTAAATATTGTTGCTGCATTATTTTTGTTTCGTTCTCATTTATGTATGTATGTTATTTTTATTTGCTACCAGGCGAGCACACACCTTTTTTGCGGTTTGTTTTGGTCGCGTAAGATATGCATACATATAGCAAAACGATTTGTATGCCGCAAAAATAAATGAAAGTCGGTCCAAAGAAAAAAAACAAAGTGCAATAGCAATTTTTACAGGTAATAAAATCGTACAGATAAAAATTGATGGTGTGACGAAGCTGTTGGTTGGTTCGGCGCGTAATTGGCGAAATACTTTGTTAGACAGATGAAATATTTTTAATTGTGACACAATTTTATTTCATTATTTTTTTTTTTTATTTTTTTTTGGCAACACACAAATGAGAAATAAACAAGACAATGCTAAAGTGCAAGCACACAAATGCATGTGCTTATGACATATAAATAAAAAATTGCATTTTTTTAATATAAACACTTTATGAATGAAAATGATACTCATAAAAAATATTTTTAGTAAAATGCATACACACACACACAACACACGCACAGTGAAAATATAAATTGCACAAAATGCACATCCAATGTGTTTACGGCAATTAGGCGCACAGCATTCATCAGCTAGCAAATAAGCAAGAGAACAAAGACAGCAAGAAATGGAACCTGAAAGCAAGTGATGACTGAAAAAAAAAATTTTTCTTTTTCTTATACATACATTCTTTATTGCACACACACATACATACATACATGCACACATAATGCAGCACTTCAAAGTTCACATACAAAATGCTGATATCAGGCGCGCTGGCGTGGCAAATTGACGCTAATCGGGGAGCAGCTTGCCGGCCGGCCGGCCGGCGTGTGTAAAGTGCAAAAGTACGCTGTGCATGAGAGCAGTGATACATAAATAAGTAGTTGGTAAAATTCAATTATATAAAAATGTATTTATACTTAAATAATATATTTTTTTTTTTATTTTTAGCAGAAATTGAGAATTAATGAAAATAATTAAACATTTACTTTGTTTTAATATCAAATGAGGAAAACTTTTACAAAGCACACTTTTGAGCGCATTAATTAAAATTACGAACCCCAGTTTCACCAAACAATTTTAAAGTTTATCAGACTCTAATTTTATTTAATTCTTTTAATGATTTTTTTGTTTTTAATTTTTCAATTGTTTTAGTTTTTTTAGATTTGATTATGTTTTAAGATTTTTTACCATTTTACGTGGTTCTATTCTTTTAATTTTTCCTTTTCTTGCTATAATTTTTTTAATTTTAATATGGTTTTTACCTTCTTTTTTTATTTTATATTAATTTTTTGATTTAGTTTAATTTGATGTATATTTCTATTATTTTTTTTTTTATTTTTTTAACTTAAATTTTTTGTTTTGTAATAAATCAAGAATATTTCGATCTGTGAGTGGACGATCGACTTATTTCCGCAGCCAGTTCGAAAACGTTCTTTCTCAGAAAATTTTTCAAAAACGCCCTATTTCAGAATTTGGTTGAAAAACTCCCTATCTAAGCTGCCAATTTAAAAACGCCCTAACTCGCACATTTTCAATGTATTTACGTTTGAGATAAGGCGTTTTTGAACCGAATTCAGAGATAGGGCGCTCGTAAAAAAAAATCTGAGATAAGCTGTTTTTCAATAAAATTCTGGAATAGGGCGTTCTTCAATCAAATTCTGAAGTAGGGCGTTCTGATATAGGGCGTTTTTGAACTGGCTGCCGGATAGGTCGACCCTGCACTCAGCCATAGATTTATTGTTTTAAATTTTAATTTAATATAGTTTATTTAACTTTTTTCTTTTATTACTAAAATTTTCCTTTTTTAATTCCCTTTATATTTTTTAAATTTTCTTTTATTCTTTTTTTAATTTCTGTTTTTATTTTCATTTAATTTTTTGGTAATAATTTGTTCATTAAATTTTCTGGTTTCATTTTATTTTAATTTAGTTTCCTTATCGTTATTTTTGGCTTAATAAATCCTATTAAAAAATTATTATTTTTCATAAAAACGGCCTGAAGCTCAATAAAAAATGTTTAATGTAATTTAGTTTCGTTGAATTTAATTATATTAATTTTTTGTTTTATTTCTTTTTTTGTTACCTATGTATATAGTTTTAATTTTATATCATTTTGCTGTTTGTATAAAAAATAGTTACACCCCACTTACTTACTTTTTTACTTAAATTTATCTTTTTTTAGTTTTGATCCTATTTTTTTGTTTCATTTTCTTTATATATGATGTATAAATGTCTATAGTTTTATTTCATTGTAATTGATTATATTTTATTTATTTATTAATTTTTTACTTTTACATGTTTTTATAGCCGCGGTTAATAAAAATCGCTACAAATCATTGTGAAAATGTGCAACACGCGCGGAACACTTTTTTTTTTTGCACAACTCATAAAAAATCATAAAGCATGAAAGCGTCTCGTCGCGTACCAGTCTCATACAGTCAATAAACTACAAAAGCAGTTAAGCTGTAAATAAATGCATAAATGTAGCAAATGATGCAGGAACTCGTAAAATATTGTAAATTTCGCGTGGCCCTGAGACTACTAAAATATTTTTTTTTTTACGTCTGAGATTTAACGAGGAATGTTCTTTTCACGGTTATGTATTTATGTAAGTACAAATACTCAGGTAAATACTCAATAAATATGCTTATGAATGTTCTAATGAAAGCGAAATATATTTAAATATACATACATACATATGAACATAGGTACTATTTTAATCTCAATGACACATAGCAAAAATTCAAAGAAACATAAAACTGACTGCTGTGGAGTTTCAAATAGCGAAATTACTCATTTATATCTAATACTTAAAGCTTTTTACTACAAAAATAAATAAATATACGTAATTTCCATGGAAAAGAAAATGCAATGATTTTGCCACACTGCGTCATCTAAGTAATCAAATGCAAATTCCATTCACCTAATTTCACACTCTTTTTTCCTAGCTCCTTCTACCTTTCATGCTCTTTACAATGCGCTTTAAGCTTCCACTGATGCACTTTTGTACATATGTATTAATTTATGTAACTGTAAATTCATAGAAACTGCATTGAAACTCATAGCCAGCCACCCTCATATGTATGTATGTATGTACATAGTAGAGTCCTATTGTGCAGTTTACGCCTACAATATAAACATGCCAAAGTAAACTTGCAAATTGACAGCCCACACACGTCATTCGCATGGGGTTTGTTTTATTGTTGGTGTTGTTTACAGTTGAAAATTTACCATTAGACGCGATTTGCCTGGCGATCGGTATAGCAGGCATATGTAAACCATTCGGAACGTACACTTGTGGTCAGCTAATTAAGTTAACTCGAATAACCCCAGCGTGAAAATATGGTTACGCAAGCAGTAGGCCTTTTTTCGAAAAAAAAAAATAATAACGGCAAACCGAACCAAATATTTTTTTACTAGTATTTTTCATTTAATAACACGTCATCGAAGAAAACTACGTTTTTAATTTTTCATAAAGTGGTCCCTATAAGAGGCAACCTTAAAAAAAAACACTTTGAAAGCCGTGCCAAAAAATGCTGGGCATATTTGAGTAAAGTGACATTTTGATCATTTTGGGCTGTTTTTCTTTTGATGATTTAATTTTTATAATTTTTTTATAAAAGTCTAGCTCATTACATAACCAGCACCACATAAATACACATTTTAAACTTCGTACAAAAATTATAAAAATCCAAAAAAACTCTAACAATTGCACTAAGCAAATTTAACTTTTTATTCAGAATTTTTAGAAAAATTTTGGACATGTAGTTTTGTAGCTCATTAAATTTTAGTACGTCAAAGTGCTGATTTCAAGACGCTAGAAAGTCGCGTTGATATTTATTCATTTTTTTTTTGCTGGACATTTTTTTCATATAAAAGTAATTTTCGAGCATACTTTATTTGGAAGAAAATGCACAATTATAAGAATTATATGTAAATATTAAATAGACAAAAGAAAAATGGCCAAAACTGGTCAAAATGTCACTTAACTTAATCAGCTGACCACAAGGGTATATGCATACATACATTCCTAAATATGTACAAACATATAAAACAAAGAACTTAATAAATAAAGCGCAAAGTAACAGTTACATGCAATGCACATACAAACAAATAAACAAATGAAATATAAGCGAAGTGATAAAAAAGAGCGCTGCATAATTGTTAGGGTGACGAAGCTGCTACATACATAAGTATTGCAGGCACTTCATGAGTATAAACTCAGTTGATAAATCCGCTAAAAACTTTCCACTAACTTACATCATAAACTATTAAAAATCTTAAACATAAATCATTGTATCAAGCTCGTGATAAAAATTTATATAAATTTTGAAAAAAAAAATTCTTAGAAACAAAACAAAACAAAATAAAACATGCACATCTTTTTATTGATTTCCGATAATATTGCAGAACACATAAAGAATTTCACTTTTATTATTTTTTGTTTTCAGTGAAAAAAATCTGTTAACTTTTTCAAATCAAAGAAAATTGGACATTAGGTAGTATGTAATTAAAAGAGAATGAAAACGATACAGTTACAACAATTGACAGGTAAGGCGGTATTTATGCACATTCCAGTGTAGCAGCACGGCTAGCAACAAATAAATGCACCGCTACTCATAAGAGTAATGGAAAGAAATCCGAAGGAAGGAAGAACATAAATAAAAGCAAGGAGGTTAACAAAAATTTTGTGTCAAAAAAATAAGTAAATATAAAAAACATTGCAAAGAAAGGAATTTAAAATTTAGCAAATAAATAATACAAAAAAGAATGTAAATTTAAAAAAAAATAAGAAGGAACGAAATTTAAAAAACTCATAAAAATCTCTTGTATATTGAAAGAGTAGAGAAAAAATATAAAAACCAAAAAAAAAATTAAAAAAAAAATTAAATAGGAAAATGAAAAAATTAGAAATTGAAATTAAAAATTAAATACAATAAAAAACAGACTTAAATTCTCATATAAAAAAAAAAAATATTTATATATATTTCATTATCCACTGATCGAATATAAATCAGATTAGTATGGGACCACCTCTGAGGCAAAAAGAATTATCGAAATCGGTTGACGTGGTTCAAAGTTATGCGGTAACATATACCTATACCAAAAAAAAAAATATTTCGACGAACTGATAACCTCCTCCTTTTTTGGAAGTCAAACTAGGTATGTACACACAAAATATTTTCTCTAATACAATTTAATCCAAAGTTACGCAAAATTTTACTTTACCTTTTATTCAATTCCAAGGATTGGGCGGCTCTCCTTTCGTTTGCTGTAGAATGCAAGTTTATAGTAGTGGATGTTGATTTAATTTCTTGCAACTTTTAGCTTTTTTTCAAGCCTTATCCACCTTGTCAATGAGGATTGAAAATATAGAAAATTCACTTCAACTTCAATGCCTTGTTATATTTTAAAAAATTTCGAAATAAAAATTTTTGCGGAAGTGTACTTCTATTTATTTATTTTTTATTAATAGGTACACTTATTAAAGTCCGAAACGTTTTTTTTTTGCGCCTTTCTGCACTCGTCAGGGATAACAAGTTAAAAAAAAAAAACAAACAGTACGTACTGATTGGACGACGGGAAGTGATTAAACACTCTGATCCCGTACAGTGTCACTTTAGCCTTTTCTGACGCACTGCAAGTCTGAGCGTATGTAGTATATGCAGCAATAAGTATACTAGATTCTCTCTTGTCTAGCGAATTGCGGTTCCTTTGCTCGAATTGCTCCTTCTATTGGAATTTGCAATTCCTGATCATGGATTAGAACTTCAGCTTGTTGGTAGCGGTTCTTTTTCCGTTTTTTTTTTCTTTCCTTTCTTCAACTATTTATCGTAGTTTTATATATTCCAAGTTATTTTGCTTTTTAAGCTACTTAAGTTCTCTCACTCAGGGCTTGAAGCAGATAAAACAACAACGTTTTCGAACGGACTTGTTGCAGGAAATGTTCTTGGGTGTTGTTTGAAAATTGTTAAGTCACTCGCGTTTTTTGATTTTATTTGTTTTCTCACTTGTATGCTTTTCCCACAAACATCGGTACACAAATTAATGAATAAGAGTATGTTTGCACTGCGTTTCTTCTTCTGTTTGTTGTTTGAAAAATTGCGAATTTTCCTGATAATTAATGATTTGGTATTGTTTTGAACTCTATGCATGACAGCAATTGCTCACAGCTTTTTGTATTTTTTTTTTGTGTGGCTTTTCCGGCTAACTAGCTAGATCTGTCGTTCAGGAAAAGTTATCGCTGAATATATTCACCAAAATTATGCACCTTACGCTTTTCACAATGTATGTACCTATGCAGGTTGAGTTTCTTTCATTTACCGAAAACAAAAAAAAATACACTTTATTTTGCGCCAGTACACTTTTATTACAGTATCTCACAAAAAGTCTTTACACAATTGATGAGACGAGTCCTTTTTCTGTGCTGAGAAATCGCAAGGCGACATAAATTGTTTAAAATGTAGCTCAGTGCCAAAAAAATTCCAGTACTCTTATGAGCTATTAACGGATTTTGTGTATTTTTTTATTGCTGGAAAATCAGCGAAAATATATTTCGCATTTGCAGTTATTGCTAGAATGTTCGGTTTTGAATTTTAGTCACTATTGTTCGGGCTTTTAACTGCTGCATATGTTTGCACACTGAAATCCTTTTGGTTTAGTTCACTTGATTCTAATTTTTATATCTGCGCGGAAACAGGATAATTGTTATTTCTTATCGCGGTTTTTGTATATTTTTTTTTTGTAGAGCGCAATGTTCGTTGCGTTGCTGGTTGCGTGTTGGAATGAAACTCGCGACTTTCCAAAGTCGCAAAGAATTCAAGTAGATTTTGTTAATATATGTAAATTAAACCGAGTTATTAACGATCGCCTTTAGAATGCGTTGGAATTTTTTTTTTTTTTGGCACGTCGCGTACACTAGTTATATTTTTGCTAGCTGATTAACGAACACTTTTTGTTGCTAATTGCTGCTAGAATTTTGTGACCATTCTCTTTCGCTTTCAAAACAGAATTGAAGTCGGTGATTTCTGTGCGCCGGTCAAGAAGACAGAAAAATTGGTAACGGCGTAAAACAAATATCCACGGGTGGCGATAATAGCGTTGACAGCTGTTGCAGCGACGGCTAAACCACACGGCACACAACACAAACGCGGCAAACAGGCTCAAAGCGTACGAACGAATGAAGAACGTTGATAGAGTGTTTTGCGCCTTTATTAGCTCGTTTGTACAAGTTAAATGAGTAGATGAGAAATAGAGAGAGAGTATGGCAGTGTTGATATTTGGGAGCAGTTTTGTCTTTGCCGGGACAAAGAAATAAGCAAATGTATATATGTACATATGCACCTATGGATGTGAGTAGCAGTGTTGCCACACAATTTTTTTATTATTTACCAAAGTCACCGAAAAAAGTTACCAAATTCAACAAAAAATTACCAAACTTATTTTATGTGCAGAACTGTACAAACATACATACCGAGCCCTAACCGCCAAAATAACGTAAGCGACATTTTTTTTTTTTTAAATTTTCTTTTCTCTGCGTCAAAAATAAAATTTTGAAAAAAATGTCGCTTACGTTATTTTGGCAGTTAGGGCTGGATATGTATGTTTGTACAGTTCTGCACATAAAATAAGTTTGGTAATTTTTTGTAATATGTTCAAACTTGTCAAAATATGGTGCGGCTATAATTTTTTCGACCACTGTATGTAAACAAGTGACAAGAAAATACATCAAAAATTCAACGCTTGAAGGAAAGCTTTCGACTCACACAGAGTGAAGTCCCCCGCTGAATGCCGTAGCTTTTTGAATGAGAACATACATATTTACGTATAATTCTACTCATATATATGGTTGGCGGGTACACCGGTAAATTGATAGTAATTGCAAAGCTGACGAACTGACAGCGAAAGGAAACCTTCCAGGAAACCTTCCGGGAAAGGATGCGGTGGATATACTTAGCAATAGCCACTGTCAAGCAGTTTGTTAAAGATCACATCATTCTAGTAGCCAAGGAATGCTGGAACAACTTTCGCCTTGCGAAACCTTCAGGATTACTTGGTATTTCTATAAAAGGAAATGCTTACGGGCCACTTACTAATGTGGAATCAGAACCTATATTGACCTATTTGACATGTGAGACCGAATCGAAAAAGTTACCAAATTGAAAAATAAATTACCAAACTAGATAAATAAAGCAAAAAATTACCAATTTTGGTTAAAAATTACCAAAGTGGCAACGCTGGTCAGTAGGTATGTATGGATGGGTACATTTGAACCCAGAACACGGTTGCCACTTTCGAAAAAAAATAATCATCCAAAAGCTGGAAAAAAAGTAAAACTTTTTACAAAAAGCAAAAATTATTGAAATACTCCTTGCGCGTTCTAGCACACATTTACTTTTTATATGTATTTTATATGCACATGTTACATTAAAAATAGGAATTTGAAAAATTCATTTATTCGGCAACCGTGACCAAGAATGATAGAACGTTTCTCTCAATCGTGCATTTGACCGAGAGTTTGGTAAGGAGGGCTATAGCTATGTATATAGTACAGTTAGAAGAGGACTGATAATATAGTCTCTTAATAACAGACACAATTTATTCCAGTAACTAGTTATTGTACACGTACATATGCACTTTATTTCATGTGTAGATATTTACAAATCCTTTTCGAGGACAAATCCATGTTGTTTAATCATTGACGTACCAATTTATGAAATTTGTATGATAAGGAATTCTTAAATAGCACAACAGTAATGTAAATATGCATAGTTGACATATTTTAATATGTAGGTGCATTAGGCTGGTCTAAAAATACATAGGAAATTCCACTTTGAAAATAAATACTTCAGTTCACATATATTTTTGAATAGGGTTGCCATTTATCGCCATTTATCTATAATGAAATTTTTTAAAGGCATGCTGCTTGCGGTTAAGAAAACATGAGTTTCAAACAAAAGGTGTTAAAATACAGGTTTAACCCCTACATATTTCCGCATGGAGTAGGCAACTCTTTAAACAATTAAAATGAATGTGATATATCGTCGCTACCATGTCAAACTATGGTATGTGGAAAAATGCATACGATATGTCATCATTTCACTTCTTCTTCTTCTTCATTTCACTTAACTTACATAATTACCCCATCTTAGTAGCAGATGGGTGGCAACCCTATCACCTTTCGTGTGATACCCATATTGTGGTATAAAATTTGCTTTAATTTTTAATAAGTTTATTTTTTAGAAAGATGGAAACCCCGTTCAAAAATATTTTTAAACATCTTCAAACGCCTTTAGTTTTGATGAAGAAACATAAATATTTTATTGACCTTTAAATAATTTAAATGTTTCAAATCTGGCAACCCTATTTTTAAAATTTGTTTACCACAAATCTACAGAAAACAGCGAGTAGAATGCAAAAAAGGAACTACACTCATCCACTGAGCTGTTTGTGGGTGATGTGGTTATGAAAACATAAAATAACAATTTTTTTCATATAACAGATAGGGTCGTCGGTTATTAAAACACACTTATAAAATTTTTAAGTTAGTGTTATTTTTTCAAAACTTCTGAATGGAAATAGTGTCATTCGATCAAAAAATATTTATTTTTAACGATTTTATAGCAATTTTACGAAAAAATGTATTTTCCTATGTAAAATACATGCGAAACTGCAAAGTCTCCGCGGCATGGGTAAATATTAATCGATTTCAAAATAAAAAAAATACGTGTCTCCTTATTTTTGATATTCTTCAGATCTGGTGGGTTGTTGGAAAAAAAATTACCACTCTAATCTACATACATGCATGTACCCATTGTTAACGCCACCTACATGTCAACTACAACATCCGTCCGGCAGCACCAGATAATTTTATGTTACCGCTATGTCATTTTCGAACATTTATGTATTTACTTATTTACTTATATTTTACTTGTCCTATATTTGTCCTTTAATTGTTCAAAGTCATTCGCAGCGCAAAAGCCGACGAGAACATACCACATAAAACCCGCGCCTAACGCGATTTTCTGTAATTCGCGCCAATCGTGGTTAATGTAAAAGTTTGTAGACGAAAACCAAAATTTTACTAAATAAAACAACATCTTAAAATGCGAATCTGGTTTAGTCTATTTTACACCCATGATACAAAAACGAAGTTAGTTCCACTTTGAAATTTTTTGACATAAACTGTGTTTATGACGTTTATACTAGTCGTAAATAGCTCAAGTAGCAGTGCTACTCAAAAAATGATTGTTTTGGAAATTTTATTATTTTTTAAAAAGGAGTTTTCCATGCATTAGAAAATAATAGCACGCAAGAAAAATTTTCTTATTTTATCTTATTAGCAGAGCTGTTAATAAATATGGCTTTGTTGCACCAATATGACTCTGGCATGACTCTGAATAACTGAACTGTGTGTAGTCGAGAAGCGAGTCAACACGTACACAAATGACTCACGAATCAGACGCACCGTGTATGCCTCCTATAAGAAATTTTGGTATTAGGATGTTGCTTTGATTTGGTTACTATTTAGCGGAAGTATGAACAAAGGAATGGTTACGGTCAATGACAGCACCTTGGAAGCATAAACATATTTGTGATTATGCATGATGTAGTCATGAAGAGGGAGGTAAAAAATTGTCTAATTCTTTGGGCTCCTTGTTATAAGTTATCGACAGATATACACGACTCGCTCTACCGATGCTGCACATCCGTCCCGAGACCGAAAATTTTTGCCGAAAAGTTTTTGGAACAAATAAACAACACCTTTGAAAAGTTACCATGCACTTGGCCATCCCGAAATATGCACGCATATGAGTATTTTACTTGCCTTCCGTTTTATATTTTATTTTAGAAATAAATCACTAAAAGCTCGCTATTTATAAAATGATCCTCAAATTATATATTTTTTAATAATTGTTTAAAAAGTTTTTGAAATATTTTACAACGCTTTTTGTTTGGTAAAAAATATGTTTTTAATTTCTTCAAAGAATATGGTAGCTTCAATTTAAAAGCAAATATCAAAAGCACAGTTTACGTCAAATGAGGGCATGGCGAATAAGAAGGAGTGAAACTACCTTTTGAATATTTGTATCATGCATGCATGGTACAATAACTACAGGTGTTGTCTTCCCAGAGAGCGCATATTTCGATCTGCCTTATTTGAAAAATATCATTGTTGCCCACACTAAACGGTTTACTGCTAGGGAAAAGGGATATTTCCATACCCCGTATACCACATATGTACACGTATTTTTTAAACAAACCTTCTTGCAGAGAACTTATTTAATTTGCAAAAGCCGAAAACAACCATTTGCTTAGTAAATAAATTCAACATTTGTATGGATCACTTCATTTCAAAAGTGTTTTCTTTTGTTTTGAAAAATTATAAAAATGAAATTGAGCGAAAATAAAAAAGCAAAGCCAAAAAGTAAAAGAATCAACATTGAACTGCGTCAAAATGAAAATAAGGGAGCACGAATTTCGATGTGAAGCAAAACTCTCTGGGAAGACAATAACTGTAATTATTGTACCATGTAATGCATGTAAATACTTTTCTACACTGAAAAAAATATTTATTAGAAAGGAAAAAACGTAAGATTTGAGCAAAAAAATACATATGTACATACATAACAAGAAAGCAAAGTCGAAATTGTACTACAGAATCCTTCAATACCTATATTTTTCAATCGGCAAACTTCAGGAGATTTCAATGAATAATTCCCAATTATTTTTTTAACCAATTTTTAATACGAACTAATTTTTGAATACGGCAACCATAAAAAATCGTTAGTATTAAAAATGGTAAATAAAATAAAGAATTGGGTATTATTATGGCTATTAATGCTGATTTTCAAGAATTCTATACCATTTCTATGAAAAATTGTTTTGTACATAAAATACATGGAAACATTTGACCACTTTGGTCAACCTCTAAATAATTTTTGATTTCGAAATAAAAAAACAGGGGTATATTTTTTCGCTATCGAACAATCCTATGGGGTGAGAGCATTAAAATTCGGACTTAACTTTTTTCACATGTAATTTGTAATCACCCTAATGTATACATGAACATACATCGCTTGCTTAGAGTGAAAAGTTGCTAAGTCCACCATTTATGAAAACCCGTGTTTTGATACAGGAGGCTAGAGCAATTAAAAATGCATCGTTTCGAAAAGGGTTAAGGCCCTTATGTTTTATCGT